TAGTATACGTTCAGTTAGTGCGGTTGTACATTCTTTCAAACAATGGGATGATATAGCAGTAAATAAGGAAAGACTTCTGACTCCATTGCCATCTGTGGAAAGTGGATGAAGATGAAGAAGAAGTAGAAGAAGAAGCTTTATTTTCGTTGTTTCCTTATCCACATTCTATTCTGCAAATGTTTTTTTTTATATTTGCTGAAGGACATTTGTCCCTCCGCACTGTGTTTGTTTATGGATTTCAGTGATGGCGGATCGTCAAAAAAAAATTTCCATTTTGATAATCCTAATAAGGCATTGTTTCGATAATCTCCAGGTTATTGAATTGTTGATATGAATATGGACAAAAAAAACGAAAAAAGAAAGAAAGAATGAAAATACAAATAAGCTGTTAGTGACACTAACTATGCAATGCATAGCAAGTGAATGCAAAAAGCTTTTTGAGTTGATTGCATTAATGAGGAAATTAGTTACAACTTTTTTCGTTCATCGTTATATTTCCTATTGGACGAAATTTTGTTAAATCAGGATAGATATATGAAGAGGAATGGACATAAGAGTTGGTAAAGAGAGATTGAGAGAGATAAAGATTCCGAGAGATGAGTTAGGGAGAGACGAGTTAAACTCTTTCGAATATAAAAAAAGAGAGAAAAGTTAATTGAAGAGATTTGATGAGCAGCCCATATGGACTAAACGGAAATACGAATTGAGTGATTAAACCTTTTTTTCTTTTTTTGTCAAAGCTATTTGAAAATGAATTTAATATTTTATTTTGTGAATAAAAAAATGAAAAGAAGATGAAGATGATGAAGCTGTTGCTGCTGATGAAGGAGACTGAGGAGAATGTTAATGCATAAGAGATTCAATAACATTTTCTTTTATTTTTTATTCTCATGGATAGGATAAGATGAGAAAAATTTTTCTCCTAGAGGTTCAAAGTACGCAATCTGTTAATTATGTGTCTTCGCTAGCTTTCAGCTTGAATAGAGAGCATATTGAGGAGTTAAGCTGAGTGAAATGAAAAGTTGTGAACTTTTACATATTAAAGAGGGAAAAAAAGAATATTTTTTAGCTGAACAACCACCTCCACCTCTTCATCCCTCTCTCCATCTACCTTTCTATCTCTTTCTTAAAGTAGAATTGGAAAGCTCTCATAAAATGGAACCAAAAAAAAGAAAAGCGGGACGAAGGGAAAGAGAATGTTTGAAAAGTCATGTAATATTCGATTATAAGGTTTCAAACAATAAAAAGGTGAGAAGAAGGAACAGTTTTAAGGATTTAGACTGACGTCAGTGTCAGTGAATTTCTTAGTATTGTTCTGAGTACATGAAGCTGAAACAAGTCACGAAAACTAAAGGAAAGATAGAAGTGGGGAATGAGGAAGAAATTTGCTATTATATATTTTAAATCTCATAAGGCGTGAAATTTTTTTGGCAAAGAAAATAAATTTTTTTTTCATTCTTTTACTTATATATTTTCACTCTCTATATTCATATATTCTCTCTCTCTCTCTCTTACCCTCTCTCTTTACGTTTCTCTACAATAGCATTCCCTTCTCGTATTCTCAGAAACCAGCAGTAGCAGGAGGTCTTTTGAATGAAAATGAAAAAAAAAGAGGAAAAGAAGACGAAGAAGTAGTCAAGAAAGAGAAACAGATGGATACATCTACAGGAAGAATTGTTTATTTATATAACTATATATATATATATAATGTATAAAATAGAAAATATTTACTTAGCCTTTTCTTTAAAAAGAAAATAAAAAAATGAATTCAACTGAACAGAGATGAGAGAATAGACCTTATTGGGCATTGAGCGGTGTACGCTGTCCGATCATTTGAACTTAATAATTCTTATTACTATGCCATATATAGTAGTCATATATGGTAATTTTAGTTTCAAAAATTATATTTTTAGTTCATATGTTGAGAAAATACAAAACAAAACCCTTGGTCGATAGTCTGATCAGCGCTTTCGATCACTCACACGCACATACACACACACACACACACACATTGAGTTGAAATTCTGTTCGGAAGCTAATGAACACAAATATGCCTTCAAAGGAAGTTATTCTTCCGAAAGTCAAATACAGCAATTCGCTAACTATATATAGACTCAGATGTGGGAAAATGTTATAACTAGCTAACTATGCATGTAGTTTAATCCGATGATGATGACAATGACGACCATGATTATGATGAGGGCAATGTTGGGGGGGGGGTGGAATAAAACAAAAAAAAATTGAAAATGAAGGTGATTTCATAGAGCAGCGATAAAAAACGGAACTAAAAATGGAAGAAAGGAGCAGCTTGTCCTTGAATGCGACTGTTCATCACCTCCGGCATCAACCAGTGATAACATAGGAGAGACGAGTGAGCAATTAGAGAATTAGCGTGAAACTTTCTGTACATTTATGCTAATTTCTTGCGAAGGGAAGTAAAAGGGAAAATAATTTTTGGCTGAAGAAGATGAATAAAATGAAAAAAAAAATGTTTTTCCAATTCCAAATATGATGTTTTCGATTGGAATATGAAGAAAGAGAAAGAACTTTATTTGTCTTCAAGTTGATACAATTAAATGATCGATAAGAGGTTATTTGTATGAAGAAGACGATGGAAGAAAAAAGAAAAAAAATGAAATGAAAATCACGTTCATTCTCAATGTTTCTATTCTCTTGCAACTCATTCAGATGATATTTCAATAATGGTTGTCAGGGAAATTTAGAAGTTTCAGTTTTTTTTTATTCTTCATCACTCTTCACTTTCAATCTTTTGATAGATCTCTTTCAATCTTTCTTCTTGTTGTACTTCTCTCTCTCTCTATCTTTCTCTCTTTCTTTCTCTCGCTCTGTTTCAACTTCTTTCTTGCTTCATCTATCTTCATTCTTTTCCATATATAGACTTTGTGTTGTTCTCATTCGAATGATAGTTGGAGTGTAACGCAAAATAACTACAAAAATTGATATTTTTAAAGATTTTTGAGAGTGGCAATGAGCCCTAATAAGTACTTCATCCGTCATTCACCTTGAGAATGTTTCTTTCTCATTGTCTAAGAAGCTTAACATCATTACGAGAATGGATAGAGTAAAGAGAAAAGTAAGAAAAAGAAGATGAGCAAAAACATTATTGAAATATAAACTTGTGATTAGACGAAGACAATGTAAGAAGTTTGAAGAGAATGTACCATTATCTTCATTTCTCATCAAATAGCAAATGCATGTTGTACCTGTGCAGCAGGATGATGTTTATTTTGGAATAAAAATATAAAATGAAGTTGAACAAAAGTATAAATTGAAATGTAACGAATAATTAGTGAAAAGGTCGCTCATGCAGTACCTTAATTGGAAAAAACACCGGCATACATACACATACTCACACACATACTGATGAAGTTGCAAATAGAGACAGCATCATTAAGCAGGTATCTAAAGCAACCCCAAACAGCGATCATACATACTCTCTCTCTCTTTCTCTTTCTCTCTCTCTCTCTCTCTATCTATTTTTGTTTTTTTTTGTATAAAATAAAATTCAAAAAAAGAAAAAAAGAAGAAGAAGAACGAGAAAACCTGATACAAATTGAAATTATTATTGTGCATTTTATTTCATTCATTATATTTATTGTTTGGTCAAAAAAAACTGCAGTTTTCATTTCCGGATATGCAAATTAGACTGAAAAAAAGGAAGCAGATGGATAGTGATGATTGAAGAGAGATAGAGAACGATAGAGAGAAAGCAACCTAACGAGATATGAAGCATACGAAGGGAAGAAAGTGAGTATGAGAAGAAGCAATACAAAACACAATGACAAAAGGCTTTGAGAATGCAGACAAACTCTTAAGAACAACATGCCATATTAAACTTCTGAATCCAGAGAAGCTGAACTGACCTTCTCATACCCATGACGACTAAATGAAATACTGACGACGTCAACGAAGCAAATTACTGTCGTCGTCTTCATTCTTTCATTTTCATCTTTAACACTCACAAAAAAGCATTACAAATGGCAATCATTAATACCAAAATAGCTTTCTATCATTTGTGATTTATGACTTTGAAGTGTTTAGAAATGAAAATGCTTGAACACATGGATGAAAAGAAAAAAAAAAGAAAAATTTTTCAGTTAAAAGTACATTTTAATAGATTTTTGCAGATTTTTCCTTGTTTTTCAAGATTTTCATGCCCATTTGGGTGGAAATGAGGTGAATATCAGCCATCTCCTTTTATAAGTATCGTCTCTGCATGAGCATTTTGCTGTATTCTCTTCATCTCCCTCTCTCTCTCTCTCTCTCTCTGTTTTACTCTCTGTCGCTTTCTTGCATTCTGTCTTGTGTCTTAGTAGTTCAGCAAATGATTTGGAAGCTCCTAAGCAAGCCTCTCGCATTATTATTTTAGTTTTTCTTCTTGAAACATTAAGAAAAACACCGAAAAAGAGAAAGCAACACAGAGAGAGTAAGAGAATAAGAGAGAGAGAGAAGGTGGAGAGGATGGAGTTGAGAGGGGGAAATGAGAAGTTGATGAAGAGGATAAGGGTTATAAAATGAAAATTTCTTGTCCTTTTGCTTGGTGGATCGTGAGCATTGGAATGGAATATTCCATGGAAATATCATTAATCAAGGTACATGTTTAATATTTTATGGAAAAGCCGGCTTTTTTTCGGAGAAAAATTCTTGAATTCATGAAGAATTAGAGAAAATAGAGAGAATTGCTTAAGAAGAAGATAAGTTGAACAACATCATTCTTCATATCAGCTCTTTCTAATTAAAAAAAAAGAAGACAAAACAGAAGAAGAAGAAGAAGAGAGTGAAGAAGAAAAAGAAAAAAAAATGATGGAAAGCTTTTTTCTATTTTTTTCCACAACACGTCATCAGAGGAGTGTATGTGTATGGGTGTATGTGTGGTGGCGGTGTGTGTGGTTGGAGAGGTTAAGAATGGGAATATTAAAAATCTGTCCTCTACTTTGATGGAGGATCTTCTAAAACGATAAACGAAAATCAGATATTACCTTAGAAAGCACTCAATTGTATTGCACATGGATAGTTCACTCATCATTTGCTCACGACTGAGAGCCGTTGATAGACGTCCCCAAACAGTTCGATCCATCTGAAAGATAACATATGAATGTGGCTTGAAGATAGACAGTTGGAAGAAAAGAGCAAACAGGAAGATAATAGAGAGTTTACAAGGAAGAACGAGAGGAAGAGGATAAAAAATGAATTCCGTAGTTGACAGAAGGAAAAAAGATTTCCCTGGTGGCAAAAAATACTGAAATCTTCTACAAGGTCACAAAATTGTCACCCTCCAAACACAAAACAACAAGGGAAAAAAAGGAGAGGAAAAAGGGGGGGGGGGGGGGGGTGAGATAGAAGACAGGACAAAGTAAGAAAGAAGAATCGTCTGTTTCGAGAGAAGGGAAAGAACTCTCTGACGACGATGACGATGACGTCTGTGAAGAAGAAAATAGCTAATTTACCACACATGAAAACTTATTTGAATATTCACCTTAAATGGAAGTTGTTACTTCAATTACATAGAATGGAAAACTTGGTCATTTCACTATTCAAATGTCTTGAACTTAGTGAGTTATGAGAGAAAACATTCAAAAAAGGAAAAAAAAAGTTCTTTCCTCGTTTGGAAATATTATGAGATTACTTGCACAAAGACAACTTTCCAATAGAAGTGTTTAAAATAAATATTTTGAATAAAATATGTTGAAATGGCGATCTGTCAATTTAAAGAAGATCTGCCATCAGGCTTCATCATCTTCTTTTCCTTTTCATTCGTTCGTCTCTGTCTTTCACTAAATTCCCAATCTGACTTCTTTTATCTCTCTCTCTCTCTCTCTCTTTCTTAATATCTCTCTATATCTTTAACTGTTCCCTTCCCTCTCTCTCTCTTACTCATCTCTTGCTCTATCACTCTGAGAACAGATTATGCTTATTTTCAACCTTATATGGACCCCTTTTCCTGCTCTCTACCCAATTCTTCAAATAGAGCCGCGAGGAGGGTATAACGAATTGCAAATGTTTCTTTCAAAATCAAAAATAAACAATATTTGCTTGTAGAAAGTGTGAAAGTTGTGCAAAATACGATCAAATAGAGAAATTCAAATGTGTGTTTTTCGTTAAATGGATAGCGAAAAGCTTACCAAATACCTTAAAAGGGTGGGGGGGGGGAGCGAGATGATTTTGTTTATTAGTTTGACAAGTTTTTGTTATTCATTGCTTATTCAATACTAACTTGTCAGTCGATAAAAGTTTCTGAAAGAGCTCGTAGTTCTTAAGAAAGCAGGTAAAACAAAAAGTTTGTTAATTAGCGAACTTTTTGAGATCTTTTCACGTTCGAACTATCTCTTTTTTCCTTCATTCTCATTCTGTCCGAGAGGTTAAGTAAGTGCTTGGAAGTGTGACTCTCATAGATCGCACTTGTGTTCCGAACACTTTGACGAAATCAATTGATGCAAATGATAAGGTTGCTTGTTGAATATTCAAACGTTTTTTTATTGAATTTTTTCTTTTTCTTTTTTCTTTTATTCTTCAGCTATACATGGTTGAGAAGGCTGAAGACGTTGGCAACATTACTTGACGATTGCTCTTTTATAGACTGATTCACATGTTTTCATCTGAAATTCAAAAATTCTTTAAAACGTCGACCGAGATCACAAAATCACACACAAAATTTATACATCAGAATTAGTTAAGAAATTCATAATAAAGAGAACGAAACATACAAGAATCAGAATAAACGAGCAGGATGTATGCGGAAAAAATTGACAGAGAACGAGTTGGTAGTGACTTGGTCCTTGGCAACCCATAAAGGGGGAAATCGAAAGAGAGAAGAGCTTATATATTGAAAGAGACATAACATGAATAGAAGTGAAAAGTTATACTCTGAGAATTAGGATATACAGATAGAGAGGTAATGAGATAGAACGAGCGAGCAAGATATGAGAAATAGAAGGATAGAAGTTGGAGGCGTATGAGAGATAACGGGGAAATGAAATCCCTTTTTAGCACTGTTTTCTAATTTGAGCTATATTCAAATGCAATCTAAAATAGTCAGTTTTCATAGAATTTAGTTTTAAATAAAAAAAAATTATGATAGACAGATGCGAATGTGTGTGGGGGTTTAGAGCATGCTGAGTAACAACGCAATTCTGATGAGAAAAAAGAAAGAGAGATAAAAGTATAAAAAAAGGAAAGAGAGAGGATATGTATGAATGAGAATTAGAAGAGTATATGAGGTGGTTGGAAGATATAAAAATAAGGAAGAGATTTGAAAATAATCCAAAAATGGAAACATATCCAGCTGGTATATATATAGAGATGGATTGAGAGATATGAGTGAATATGTGGATGTGTACGTGTGTGTGTGTATGTGTGTGTTACTAGAAATGAGCTTAAAAGCAATCATTTGAAGTTAACGATAGTCACATTTCGGACACAGGACAGCTAATATTAGAAACTGGAAAAGTAACATAAGTCTTTGTGCCGTATTTTGACTTTCTCAATTGCTTCCATTCGTTACGTCTTATAATGTTTTTCAACCTAAAAACTCAATAACATCTGAAAGTTTTCCGAACTGTCGAGTAGGATTTTCGTTTCGTTTCGTTTTCCTTCGTCTAGCTATATCTTAAGAATGTGTTTGAAGGATTCGCATGACCATAGAAGAGCTATGAAGTGGAAAAGCTAATGATCACCAACGAAACATTGAATATTACAAAAACTGTTTTGATATGTTTTTCAATGGCAGAGAGTTATCGAACTTTTCGCTTTTGAATGATTTTATAGAAGATTTTCAAGTAATAGCTTCATTCAAATAAACGTATTCAGTTGGTTGTGCTGATAATTTGGTGCAACACACAGAAAGGCCCTCGGGCAGAATTAGTTCAGACTGGAAATTATGTTTTAAACTGCAGACAAGAGACATTGGACGGTGGAGAAATAAATAAAATATACGAAGAAGGATCTGCATTAACATTAATTATCGAATCAAGATAGTCTGTCAGACAAGTATGGCAGTGAAAAAACGTGCATTTGCTTCCTTCATTTCTCTTTTTCTCTCTCTATTACTCTCTCTTTCAATGGTATCGTCAACTCTTTGTAGAAAGATCAGTCTTGCTCATGGAAGAAAATGTCAGATGAATAAATGAATCGAAAAAAAAAAGAAAATTGTGATGAATTCCCTTGTCTGACTAAATAACTGGGCAATCTCTCTAGCTTAATCTAAATGAGATCGCTGTTCCAGCTATTTGATGACAAGGGCGTTAAGAGAGAACGGAAAAGTTTGAGCATTAACTGTATAGTTAATGATATACGCATATAATAAATATATATAATATAAATATATCCATATGAGTAATGTCAAAATAGTATTTGATGGGATATGCATGTGTGTGTGTGTTGAAGAGTAATGTTTCTGGTTGAAAGTTGTTGAGTCCCACGCCTGCATATGATTCATCATCGTCTTTTCATTAAAAGCTTCATCAATTTCTCTTATATATAACCATGAATAATGAAAATGAGAAACATCTCCTTCCTGGTTATCAAAATCACAAAATGCATTTGTTGTCAAATGGCTCAACATAATTGTCTTTACAATTCGAAAGGTTGGGATGCAGGAGAGGTAGGATGAAGCTATATCAATGTGGGCTATAAGCTCAAACATATATTTGACCATCCAGAGTGGGATGAGGCACTCTGAAATGGTAAAGGAATACTAATTAACTCTCTCCTTCAGAAGATGAAAATACATTTTGTAAAATTTAAATTTAAATTAATTATTTAAATATTCTGAATTGAGAACACATCTCCTTCTTTCTCTCTTCATTATTCAAATATAACTAATTAGAATATTATTGTACGTGAAAATCACGTAAACACGTGGTTCAGATAAAACTGCACTCACTTCATCTGTAGCGTATGCAGTGAGCGGTTGTTGTTTTTGTGATACATTGTAGAAATAGAACGAAGCAATTATGAGTATATCTGAAGAAGAGCAATATGGGATTAGCTGAGTAAAACTGTCAGAGTAAGACTCAGTATGGAAAATTGAGAAATAAATCAAGAATCAAGGAAAGTACCACAAGCGGAAAAGAAGAAGAAGAAGAAAAAGTAGAACTGAATGTTCAACAGAGTGAAATGAGAATAAAGAGAGAGAGAGAGAAGTTGAAGGAGGGGGGAGAAAGAAAGAGAGAGAGAATGGATGAAGAGTAGAAGAACTTTATTTTTATGTTTCACAAAATACGATTGGAAGACGTGCAAATGAATCTTCAAAAATTACTTTGGACTTTTACAAAAACTTTTTCAATTTTTGGTTTGTTAAAGAACGTTGACTTCGTCATTTTTTATTTTTTTTCTCGTCGGTGGCAAAGGAGGAAATAAAAAAAAAAGGAAATTTGTCAAATGGGTAACTCCTTTGAAGAATACGGAAAAGAAAGAAAAAAATTAAATAAAACCAATTCTTTCACGGTCCACTTTACTATGGATAATCAGCTTCTTCTTTTTTCTTCATTTGGCTCTTTGATGCAAAGACACAAGAGACCAAATCATGGCACCCACGTAGGTTCGTTTTTAATGCAATTTATGGAGAAGGGCATAGTCGTCGAGATATACTTTGTCGGTGTGAACCATCTTTAACTCTCTACAACTGATGTTTGAGCCTTGCAACACAAGCTTTCTCTCTCTTTCTTTATCTCTCTCTCTCTCTCTTTCTTTTTTTTGTTCAGACATTTGGGTCATTAGAAAGTGGTCAATTTCAGATGAACATGTGATTGAAAAAATTGAAAGACGTAGAGATTCTCAAGGATTATTTCATGTTCCACATGAATGTGAAACAATGCACATACATATATGGAATATTTGATTAATTAAATGATTTTTAAATTTTCCAATGAAAAAGAAAAATGCGAAGAAAACTGGAACGAAATGCTGACACATTGAAAAAGAAAAAAGAGCGAATCGTCAAAATATGGAGATGAAAATGGTTTTTTTGTTGAACAAAATAATCTTCAGATGGTATACTTTGAAGACGAGATTATCCGACTTCATTCACATCTCACATCTTCGCCCATACATGTGGTGGCAGGAGAAGAAGAGAGCGGCTTGTACACGGCTTATTTATAGATGAAAAAGAAAATTACGAAAAGAGAGAGAGAGAGAAACAAAAAAAAAAAAGAAAAAAAAATTTTTATTTTTTTTTATTTGCACACCGACACACACACCAACACACAAAAAGGACATCAAGCTTAAGGAAGTTGTGTTGACTTGAAGCAGAAGAAATAAAAAAAAGGAAAGTAATATGATTGTTTTTCTTTGATTCTATTTCGTATTCAATTACTTCTTATCCATACAGCCGTAGGATGGTTTTGCTTCTGTTTTCACACAATTTCACATGAAGAAATTCATTTTTTTTACTCCTCTACTTAATTCTTAAGAATTCTACATAATATTGCTCGTCATCCAATAAAAGCTTCTTCAATCGAATCAAGACAAAAAAAGGGAGGCAAATTGAAAACGAAGACAATGAGGGCGGTCGAATGCTGACAATCTGCCCAATTTGCTGTGTCAGATGAAGCATTGAGAATGCTTGACGTGATTCACGTGTTGTCACGTCAGTTCCTGATTAGAAACTTTCTCAAACAACCTCTCGCAGACGAGCATATTAGGTTTGATGCAGACTACATGTATGAGACTTCATAATTTTCAAACACATACTTCAATATTTTCCATTTTATGAATGGTGGGTGGGAGCTGAATGCAGATGTGTAGTTTCATTCAAAACAGTCTTAATCGGATAGAATACACACCAGATCGAAAGAAAGCTCAAGAATGATGTGATAGAAACATAATTTTACAGTGAAAAGTGAATAAAACAACTGATTATAACATATATTCAGGTTATAATGCAAAATAAATGAGTTCAATGACGACTTTAGACAAGCTGAATGTCAATTCGGTAGAAGTTGAAATGCCATTTCGGAGGCCTACTCATCAGCGTACAATATAGTTATTAAAAGACACAAAATCTCTGAAAAAAGGAATAAGTAAGATGTTTTCGCATAAAATATTAATATAATTTCTTTCATTTCGTTCAAGTTGATCTATAATATAAAAAACGTTATATCAACTTGTGCGCTTTCAAAAATACGTATTCCATCATACCTCCTTTACTTCCCCAACACACCTACGTTATGCCAGCATACCTCTAGTCCTTCATTGGAAAGTGATCATTAATTTCTATGTTTCATAATTCTTTTGTTACGAACCGAAAGAAATGCAAAAAGCAATAACTTTAATTTATATTGCTTAGTCTTCTGATTTTGCCGTATGCGATCGGAGTTTATAAACAATGTTTAATAATTACAGTTTTATCGTTTATCTATCTGGTGCACATAGAGAAGACGCGGAGATTTGCGGACATGTTATACTGGGTAATCTCAACCTTTTTGGCTGTGAGAACAGTGAGGTGTTCCTCCTTAGAACTTGAACCAAACCAAACCGTCAAGACTTCAATACACAATTACGTCCAACCACACTTGGCCACAGAACTTGAGGCTATATCTAGCTTGGCAATAAAAAGAAGTAGTTACCTCTCCTCTCGATTAAATGTTCCAACATGGAATATTTTTGAATAAGTTTATGAAGAGCATTAAGTCTGATGTTGGTTTAGTCAGATTGGGCTGCGAGTATGTCTAGGTGTGTCATCTCTTTAACGAGCATGAAGAAAAATCGAAGAGCAATGAAACCCCTTGGGGCTATTCTAGTCATTTGGTTTTCGCTCAACTTCAATTCTGAAACTTGAACTTCATTTAAACATCCAAACGAGCGAACACAGCCTCATAAATCTAAGATATAACACTTGAACTCGTATTAACGATATAAATCTGTCTGAACAATGTTCATAAAGAACTTGCAGCCCAATAAACTCAAGTACAAGCTACATGGGATACAGTAGATTAGCGAGGGTTCATATAAATCGGTTCTTTCCATAAAACTGATATATTCTAATAGCTTTGTTAGTGTCACCTAAACAATTCCATCAGAATATTTAAATTTCTCCAAAAGTCCCTCTAATTCTAGACTGAGACAGCTTTCCTCTCTTCAGTTATCTGTGTTCAGATTCAAACTGTTATCGCAGTCGGTGTTAATGTATATTCCATGTGTTTCAAAATCTCACATAATGAATCATCTTCAAAATACACTTGTAATAAGAAGCACAGTGTAAACAAATAGAATGTACCAGTATAAAAACAAAAAAAATAACAATAAATTACAAATACACGTTTCTCATCTATCCGTTGATAGTAAGAATTACTATCATAAGGTGACCTTACTATTCATGTGGTTCATCAAATCGTTTGTTGAATCTTGTTCTATAAAATATAAAATAATAAAACAACGTTACAAGCATTATGAACGAACGAGTTAGAAGTTCAATTTGTTTTGCTTGACGCCGAATTCTAGATTGAAGCAATCCGTTTTCATCCCTTATGCTTTGTAACTCATTGAGAAGATCTCGATGGCTTGATTCAAGAGAGCCACCAAGTCTTTCCTACAAATTCATGTTCATAAAAAACAGTTAGATTTTGAAAAGAATTTTACCTGAGTTTGAACATTATTTTCAAGATCTTGAATGATGGATAAAGCTCTCTGAAGCTCCGTTTCACAACGATTCAGCTTATCTTGCAATTCATCTTTCGAAGTCTCAATTCTGTGGTATCGTTCCTGTCGTCCATCGTACTCATGGCGAACAGCTTCGACCTTTTCATTTGCTCGCTTCCTATTCAATGACAATATCCTTATAACTCAAAAAATATATGTACTACCTTTCCGTTAAAATATCATTTTTTGTTTCATTTATCAAGTCTTCATGACGCTTCTTCCACTGTTCAGCATCTTCCAAAGCTCGTTTCAACCTCATCGCTAAGGAATCTGAATTCTTTTCTGCTCTGTCAGCTTGTCGTTTCAAGTTATCAATATCCAATTGTTGTGATCGGTTTTGAGTGAGTATTCGTTCTCTTTCCTTAAGTTGGAGAATTCATCAGTTTCATATTCTTAACAGCGCTTACTGATTCCAAACTTCCTAACGAGGTTTTGTAAACCTCTAGCTCTCGTTTTTGTAGGTTCAAATCAGTGTTCAGTGATTGAACGTGACGTTCTAATTCACTTATACGACGTTCTTTCTCAAAGTTAGTTATGGAAGAACTTTTCTGAATTCCGTAACTGCTTGAAGATAGATCAACGTGAGAATCTCTTCTTCTTAAAGTATATTACTATGGAACGTTCTTAGGACACATAACAAACCTTGGTATATACATAGAACTAGATAACTCAGGTTCAGTTTCTCTTCTTCTGTTCAGTGCTCTGACAGAGGAGAATGAACTAACCGATGTTAGAGAGTATTGACGACCGATTGTTGATAGTCTACTGACACTGCTTCTACCAGCTGAAGGAATGAATAAGAAAAGTAATTTAGGCTGATATTACTGTAATCAGAATCAACAGAAGATTCGCGATCAAACGTTGAAGATTCTAGCTTCATTTTCTGAATGTTATTTTCCGATTCAAGTCTACAATAGAAGATTATTCTTTTCACGGTAGATGTAGCTTACTTGTTTGCTTTCCGTTTGTATTCATCAATCTTTTCTTCCAGTTCGGACAGTTTAGCCTTGTGATTACTTTTCAAATCTTTAACACAATCATTCATGACAGCTTCTTTATCTTCTAATTTCTTCTCATAAATTTTCAGAGAATGCTCTTTCTGCCGCAACAAGTCTTTCTGAAAAGGTTGCAACTTCTCGAAGCGACAGGGTTCAATCTGAACTCACTATACTCTCATACTTCTTTTTCAATTTGTCATATTGTTCTTGAATATGACGAGATTCTTCTTCAACCCGATCTCTCTCTTTCTCAACCTGAAGATTCATAAACTTCTAATCAAGCTCCAAAAATTGCAAACTTTTCTTCGTTTATTCTTTTCCTCAAGCATTTCTTGATCATTCTTAGCCACTTTTGACTGAAAACAAGGTTTGGAAGATGTTTTGAAAGGGTAGTATCTCACATTGAGCTCTTCAATGAGTTTCTGAAGATCGGTGATTGTATTGTTCTGTCTCATATTCCGTGATTTTCCATCTTCTGTTTCATTCTCTTGTCTGAAATTGAAAAATATCAAACAATCAAAGAATATATGTTCCTACTTGGCTAGCAATAGTTTCAGTTGATTATTCTCATCACAGACCATTTGGAGTTTTCCTTCTAATTCAGCAATTCTGCTCATGCATTCTTCAATTTCCTTCTGACCTCTGCATTTGTTTTCATTTTCTCGTTCCAGAGCTTCATGTGCCTGGAAGAAAGAACAAAGAGAAAAGTGAGAATAACGTCTATATATTATATATTTGATGATTACTCTTTGTAAATCTCTCGATAAATCTTTGTTTGTCATTTGAGCATCATCAATTTTTCTTTCATATTCTCGTAGAGTATCGTTTAATTTCTAAAATTAGGATGGATTTATACTATGCAACCGTATATTGCAAGACAAACCATCACGTTGTTGTGTTGCTCATTGTATTTTTTCTCTAAAACTTCGAGAATATCTTCATTTTGAAGTAAATCATCTTTCAGCTTGCTCATCTCGCTTTTCTTCTCTTTGTTAATCTTTAAAAAACAATACATTTTTTCATATCTATTTACTTTTTCATTTACCTGCTCAAGCTTTTGCTCTAACTCTGCGGCTTGTTCTTTGGCAAGCATTGTTTCTTTCAACAAGTTTTTCTTTTCCTGCATGTATCAAAAAAATAAGTTAATTATGTTTCATTGACTGTATGCACTGACCTGCTCGTTATCGAAAACAACTTTCTTCAGCTTTTGCTCGAATGCTTCCATTCTATTGTCATTTTCTTCATTCTGATGTTTGATGGCCTAATGATCAATCATAGGTTCAATAGAATTGATAAGAATGGCTTTACCTTTTCTATTTTTGCTTGAAGTTCGCGCTTTTCTTCTTCTGCTCTTTCTAACCTCATTTTGTAATCACTCAAGACATGATCTACTTCCTGGAAAGACATAAATAGTTTAATTCGGCTTAAAGTCAAACTCTAATCAAGCGAGATTCAAGCTTATTCTTCTCCTTTTCCAATGTATCAAGATCTTTGAGATATTTGGCTTCATTACCATTCATTTCCTTAAAATATCTAATCAGTGATGTTTAAGATGTGTTTCCACCTCCGTCAACTGATTGTTTTCCTCTTTATATTCTTTGATTTCTTCATTCAATTCATCGATCAGCTTCTCTAATTCAACTATTCGAAGTTTCTCACGATCCTTAACACGTATTACATCGTGTTATGATTGAATATCAATCCAAATACTTTTGGGATTAATGGTATAACCAACTGCATCAACCGGAACCAGGGCCATGATGATAACTTACCAAACACTCGTACATTTGATTGAACAACCACGACAGCTTCTCTTGAATATTATAATTATCTATTCCGAATTAATGATGTGAGAAACTCTCTGCGAGCTCGATTGTCACAGTCCCGTAGTGCAGAGTAGCTGCGAATATGCGCTTGTAGCTTACAAATGAACAAGGCAAGGGTGTGTCGACGACGATGTTCCAGCTATATGTATGGCTATTAACCTTGAATTTGTAAAATGAAAAACCTCTGATATAACTCCAACTCTACAAAACACTTTTGTATGACCAATTTTATACTTATCCTTACAATAATCGATAGTGTTGAGAAGTTGTTCACATCCTAAAACAGAAAGTATTTCCCTATCTGAAGTGGGAATTCTCACCTGCTCTGCCTGTGAATTTCGCTGAAGCACCTACCAGAAGAGAATATCTGTGAGTAAACTCAGCGAATGGTATCCGGGATGGATAACCTTTGCGACAAATGCGAATACCTTCAAGTACACCATTGCATCTGAAAATTTATATCACTTAGATCACTTAGAATTTTTTGATAAAATGCCTCAATTGATGAACAACTAAATTTCCATCAATTACTCCGGGCTTTCTCTCATAGTTAGGAACAACACATCGAATGAAGTGAGCAGCAGTTATATTGAGACAGTCCAACAAATTTTGCAACTGATTCTAAATTTTTATTTTAACTTGGATGATTGCGTGATTCAATGTAAACCTTGTATGTGAAACTAACAGATGCTTGACACATCGTACCTCGTCTGGTTTTGGTGAAATCGTTTGAGACTGAAATGGTTGTTGATGTGATTAACTATATTTCCTATACCCGGTGGGAATAATTCTTTAAGAAGATTTCCGGATGATTCAGAAAGAAGAGCTAATACAGAATGCTCAACAACGTCTCGATTCTTTTCGATCCAAGAAGTCACATTGTAGTCCACATTGCCTGCATAATGTTGAACACTGAAGTGTGTTATATGCTTGTTCCTGGAAGAAAGAAGTTGTCAAAAATAAAAATTTTGATTGTATGTTTTCTAACTTTTTCGATTGTTTCGCTTTATGGAAAGCAGAGGAAGAAGAACAGTTTGTCAAAAACTTTTCCAGTAATGTCGTATCTGAACCATTCGGCATCACACATTCGTCTTCGAGAAGTGCTAATAGGCCCATTGGCTGAAATAATTGTAACCCAGCTTCTACTTTTTTTCATACCTTTTCAATAAGGTCGATAGTAGGCTGGAGATCATTAGCAAAGTTCATTAGATCCCATGGGATTCCTTCTTCTTGGTATTCAGCCTGAAGAAGTAGAATCTCATTCATTCAAACTTCATACACCTTACCTGCTCTTTGACAAACATGAAATGATTGAAAAACTGTTGAAGCTTCTCATTTGTAAAATTGATACAGAACTGTTCAAATGAATTTTTCTGAAAACGAATAAAAATGTGATACAAGTATGAGATGGTCCCTCACTTCGATTATTTCGAAGCCAGCGATATCCAGAACACCAATATAATGTCCATTCTCATCTTTATCTTCTGAATCAACATACTTTAAAAGGTTTTCATACATCATCCTACTCGATAACTCTTTGTGTATAGCTTTATTACATTTTTCGAGTATCCAATTGAATAGCCTTTCATATATCACCTTAGCCATTGCTGATGCAGAGAACAAAGTCTGAATACAATAGTTTAAATACATTTCGCTCTTTAAACATCCTCCCACCTTTTTTAAATTCTGATTTTTTCTTATCAATTTATCTCCAATTTTAATTGTTGGCGATGTCAAAGCATCTACAATCCTTCCACCTCTTAATCCCAACAAGCTAGCAACTTGTTCGACTTCTATGCATTCCATTTGTTTCTCTGCATGTAGATGCCTTGTCCCTACCTGTGTTTGATTCCACAAAGCTTAAATCCATTCCGCTTCGTTCTCCAAATCGAATCTCTCCGATCAGCACACATGCAGCACATAATTGGTATATTTGCATCTGATCCTCTTCATTTATTCCCAATTTGGTCATAGCATTCTACGAAAAACATAATTAACAAAGTAGTTCTCTCAAAGAACACAGAAGCATGCAACCGCTCATCCTGGGTTTAATCTCGAAATAAATGTTTTTCTTTTACGTCAGTATCACGTGCCACGTGATAAACGCTAGTGAAGTGGCATCACACTTCAACTCACTTCGGTCTCTAATGCTCCATTGCAGTCATCTATTTCATCGGATGTTGCGACACCTCCCTGATTTAGAAATTTATATTGAGAAGGCTTCATGTTAAGTAGCAATGATCTTCGAATCTTGGCCGGTAACTTCTGTAAACGGAAGTAGATATATGGGCTTGAAGATAAAAAAATTTGTTACATCAGAAAACAACTGATAGAAGATATGAAAATTGCGTTCGCCTTCATTCTGACTGACAACTCTTGACTTCTCTAACAAATCTGAAAATGTCTTATCGCATAGAGAAGTATATGCAATGAAATGAGATTACAGCATTCAATTTGAGCCGAACTTAGTTGTGAAGTTTCATCAAAGTTCATTTTAATGAACTTTCCCTTAAAATAGAATATTTTTTAATTTTCTATTATTGTATTAGTAACAAACAAATCTAGAACTATTGTAATTATGTGTTGTTTTTGCATTTCCAAAAGCTTCTAATAGAATTCCTGTTGTGATGACGTCATTAGCTATATCAGATTCCATTGAACTTCCACAGGAATGCATAATAAAGTCAATAATCTTTTTTGTGTTTTCCGTTTTTCCAGCTCCAGATTCACCCCTAATTCATCTAATAGATGACGTATTGACGTATACGATGAACTTACGTAATCAGAATGGACTGGTTTCGATGTCCTATAAAGTATATATATAAATAAAATTTAATAAAACAATTAAATAATGTATTTATGTTTACCACGCATTATTCCATCGTATGCAGCTTGCGCTATTGAAAATATGTGTGGAGCTCGATCAATATCATCATTTCTTAAATATGATAATGATAATGATCATAATGAACCTATACAGATAGAATAAACCTGTATAAGCTCATGACATCTTTCGAATATATTGGAATAGTTTTCCATGGATTTATGACCACACAAAAAAGTCCACAATATGTCTGCAAATATATGAGAGAATCAAGATACTGATTCATCAAACGTTATGTCTTCCGTTAACATACATGAATTACGCCGTGCTGATATCGTTTACTGAGCGAATCCAAGACTGTCGCTGTGTTTGGTTCAGTTAAAGTACACAAATCATCGGACATCACTTTTCGACTGGGAGGACATGTATCTATTCGTTCAACTCGTTTCTGCAACACAGATATGCATGTTATAAGCCCTTTATGCCATTCTCTTCCTTGTTCCTTTTTTTTTGGAATTTTTTAATATTAATTTCGAACATTTCATTTCATTTGTCTTCATCTTCATCTTCATTTCATCATCCTTAGATCTGTTCTCCAATAAATCACAAGGTGAATAACATATGTTGCGTGATCTCTCACCAAAAAGATAAAATTCCATTACAATTTCATTTTATGAACCAAAAAATACTTTTTTTGTTTCTCGAATTGTATTCGACCCCTCAGCTTATTTTCAGAATTAGGAAGGAAAGGGGAAAGAGAAAGATAAAGAGAAAGAGATATAAAGAGAGAAAGGGCTTGCAGGATGGAAATGGATAGAAGCCCAGTCATTTAAGTATCTATGTGATTCTCTCGTGCTATGTGTTGATCTGTTGTTGAGAAAGATAAAATCGAAGATAATATATACTTATCATCAAAGTTCTCCTTTGATAATCTTCAAAAATTACATTTCTGACCATGTACGAAAGGAATACATAGAGGAATTGGACAGAAGAACCACTTCTCCCCCCCCCCCCCCCCCCCCTTTCCCTCTCCCCCCCCCCCCAAGTGTTTAAAAAAGAAAAGTTTGGTGAAATGTGTACAAAAACCCCCTCCCCCCCCCCCCCCCACCTCCCTTTTCCTCTCTCCGACCATCATCGATGTTATCAAAGAGAATTGTTTTGAAAATGAAGAGAAAATTACAATTATCATCTCTCATAACTTCATCATAATCCTCATCAATTCATCTAATTTTACATCAGATTATCAACGTGCAGGAAACGGGGTTCTCGTAAGTGTAACGAAGAAAGAAAATCTTTTTTTTTCTTCGTTTTACTTTTTATCTTTCTAAGCATTTGTCTCCAAATTCCTTTTTTTTTGTGTAGGAAAGACAAATCTTGAGAAAAAGGATAGAAAGATGAAGTTCGTGGTCTTCCAAAACCTAACCATCCTCTGATCTCTTACAATCTTTCCCTCCATTCTTCTCTCTATCCATCAATCTATTCATTTACTCTACAGAAAAGACTTAAAAAAAAGTGTTCAAATCTATCTTCTAAGCTGATTGGAGATAAATGAGAGAACGTTCGTATTTGATACAAATTTCAATCGTAAAACAAAAAAGAAAGATCGAATTTGTTCAATTTTTACGAATTTTTCTGACGTCATTCGGCTGCCAATCCTTCACACCTTCATCTTTATCTCATTTCTCAACAAATAGTTTTCTCTAGTATATTGTAGAGATATTTGTTACAACAACATTAGAAAAAACAAAAAAAAAAGACTAACATCACACTCAATAGCCTTTTTTTGTGTTTGTTTCAACAAGATGTCAAGGATGGGTCAGCTGATTAAAAGTTTGCAAAAACTTAACAAAAACGAAAAACGTCGAAAGTTCAAAATATGTTTCGATTTCTTAAAGACGAGTTAAAACAGAAAAAAAAGTGCAAACACGAGATATTTTTGATATTTCTGAACTATTTCCGGTTGAAGGGTTGAATACAGACAGAGAGAGAGAGAGAAAGAGAAACGGAAATAGAGAGAGAAGGAAAGTCGTAGAAGACAGAGGATAATCAAAATATAAGATTATATGATATGATAAACAAACTTTCTCGAAGAATCCTTGCTCATCTCTGAATCCTACGAGAACATCTGATAGGCCATCATCAAGTACAGAGCATAATCTATGAGTTTTCAAAAGATAAACTTCTTCCTTATCACTTTCTATTGTACCTATAGCCAAGTTGACTATCGGGAATCCATATTTTGTGATCATAAAGAACATCTTCATCATCATGGGATGGCTGATTAACTTGCAAATGTCTAAAAATAGGATAAAGATAGTTAAGAAGCATAAACATGATTGTAGAAGCTAAGCTTCATGAAGTGAAAGGTCAATTCGACAAATCAGAATATTCGATGGGAAAAAGAGAAAAAAAGAAAAAAAAATTTGATTTTTGCTAAAAAATAAAAAAAAATTAATCAAGTAAGGTGTAATAAACTGTTTTTACTATAAACACGCATGACGTCATAATTAAAAAAAGACAGAAAAAGGATATTTATAAGCATGCATGGTCATCTCACATTACGTCATTACACCCTATTTAGTAATTTAATAAATATTTTAGAAGAATTAAAAAAGGAACTCACTTGATTATAGCAGAATCCATGTCTTCTTTGTCTTCATCAACAATCTGATTCTTCTTCTTCTTCTTCCTCAGCGTCGTCCTCTTGTGTGTGTGTGTATGTATGTGTGTGTGTGTGTGTAAATGTATGTGATTAGTCTATGAGGGTAGAACCACAGCTGCCATAATGCTTAAGCATCTCTGCTTCTACACTATTCTTCTTAGTCTTTCCCTATCTCTTATTTAAAAGCTCAATATCAATGTCGTTTTCTTGAATAGAGTCGTCGTATGCTCGGTACTCCCACAAATCTCTTCATTATGTTCTATGCGGATGACAACCTGTCCCTCATAATGCATGTGTTTTCTGTTGAATGCCAAAAAAGAAAATGGAAAAATAGCACTGCAAGTAGCAAAATGATAAGTTACTTATAAGGTTATGATTACTATAAGAAGTCTGAAGATGAGAAAAAGGAAGTGCATTATCGACAGTCAAGAATGAATGAAATCTCTTCTTTCCCTACCAATTCCATTTTCTTTTTTTCTTCTTTTCTCCTTTCTTTTTTGAAAATTGATGGAAAGATCATTGATGCTTTGAGTACGAAGTACTGATTTTAAAAAATCTTCATTTAAAATTATATGAATAACATTGTATATCACGTGAATTATATCACAAACGTATGTATGCAGACCGATACCACCCTCAACTCCTGTCAATTGAAATTTCCCTGATGAAAATTTATTTTATATTTTTTATCATATTTCACGTGAGCATTCACGTGTAACGTGATTCCATCTCACACGTTCATATATTCATTTCATTTTCATGTTTGAAGATGGCGAAGAGCGGTTGCATTCCACTTAATTGAATCTTTTTTTTTCTTTATTCTTGTTTCATTTTTCAGTTGTGAAAGGGGTGGGGGTGGGAGGTGGGTTATCGTACGTTCTTACCAATTATCTATCTCTTCATGATTTCTATTGAAGCTCCACTGTATTCATTGTTCGTTAACCAAAAACCTTTTTATGGTTCAAGTGTAAATGTTTTGACATCTTCATATCATACAGCTGATCTGTATATGACAGATCATTGCTCTATCAACAGCTTCATGATTGAGTAGAATGAAGGTATTGGACATGCAATCATTTTGATTTCGAACCGTCTCTTTCTAATCTCTGTTCCCGATTGCATTTTCTTTTTTTTCAGTTCATTTTTGAACTTGAAGACACAAGATGATCTCTGATATTATCCTTAATCATCTGAAGCATTTTCGCATGTATCTATGAAGAAACAAATCATTCATCTCTTTTCTCTTTTACTTAAATCACTGTAGACAATCGAACAAAATTTGAGTTTCCGAAAAATTGTTCTGGTTGGCTTTTATTTCAAAGATCATTTATATTAATTCTCAGGTGGATGAGATAAGAGGGGGATGATGTCGAGAGATGGTGGGAGTGTATGAGAAAAACGAAGAATAAGGCGATAAGGCTATGAGAGAGGAAGAGAAAAAGAAGATGAAGAGAGGTGAAGGCTTGCTTTCATAAATGGATGAAAGCGGGTCATTGACCGTCTTCCTCTACTGCCTCTATCTATCACTTGTCTCATCTCTTGTTATAATAATTAATTTAATTTGTTTTTCTTTATTTCTCTTTCATAACAATCCATCAGGGTCTTCTCAAAATTCTTTAACAGAATAACTTGATTATTTGATCTTTTATCTGTATTTGTCAGTGACAAAACCACGTGGTTCTACTAAAGGCGCAAAATGTTTTTCAAAGCGATCGTCTCTCTCTCTCTTCTTCCTCAATTACCTTTCTCTCTCTCTCTTTCCTTCCATCTCTCTCTCTCTCTATTCCTTTTAAATGTGTTTCTCTCTATCTCTCACAATGTTCTCCTCTAATCGCACTTTTATGCATTTCTCTTCTTTTTTTTTGTTCAAGCTATTACCAGTTCTGTACAAGCCATATTCAATATTATTATTTCTTTTGCAAAAAATAAAAGAAAGTTCTTAATAGGAAATGAAGCATTTCTCTCTCTCTCTCTCTCTCTCTCTCTCTCTCTCTCTCTCTCTCTCTCTCTCTGTCTCTCTCTTTCTCTGTCTACTTGATTCCTTCTCTTCATTTTCATTTCTTTTTTTTTTCTTTTTTTTTTGTCAGAAAATTCACGTTTGCCTCCATGTTTTTTCAATTCATTTATAATAATATATGTTATAACATATTGTTGTTATTTACAAAATGATTCGAGAAAAGAAAAAAAAAACATAAATTTCCACTATCGAAGTAAAGAAATAAGCCGGAAGTTTAATTTTATTTTCTTGTCCATCTATGGATAACAACGTAAAGTTGTGTGCAAAAGACTCTTGGAAGCTTATTCGTATTCCTTTTCATACCTTGCTTTTCATTTTTATATATTTTTACATACATATATATATTCTTTTTTTTTCTCTATTATTTCTTATCATTTTCATCAAAAATTTGAATAAAAACCTGCGTTGATGGTGATCTCTGTCGTAAGAGGTGGACAACCTGATCGGCATTGCAGGAATACTAATCAACCAAGAATCGGGAATTTCGCGTCATCGCTATGGTGAATTTAAAATTATTGTTTTTGGGATGAGTTTGTTCCACGAACTATCTCTCATCTTTCGGATTCTGTAAATGGATAGATTGATGAAGATGAAGAGAGATGCAAGAGATAGAAAGGCGATGCCGATAAATGGTTAGAGTTCATCCCGATGATCTCTCTCTTCCTCTTGCATATATTTTCAATTCACCTCTCAACTTAACCACCACATGCGTAATCTTTGCTTTGTTCACACTTATAAACTTTTTAAAATCAGCTATCCATTGATCAGCCTTATGTATGAATTCTTCAAAAAACAATATGTCTCAGCTTCAATTCTTGACTATAATCCGAAACTAATCTGAATTTAATCTTAAGCTGTTCAATACTTCGTAAAAGGTATTTCCTGTTTATGAGGTAACAAAAATAATTTTGATCTCTCACATGACTTCCATATAAGCAGTGCTTATTAAGCATTTCATACAATTATTGTCACATCATATATAGAAGCAGTTTGCCCTTTGAACTTCCAATGTCCTCTCCCTTCATCTCTCTCATACTCTTCTTTGTTTCTATTTTTTACGCCATCAACATGTGGTTGTTTGATCTTGTATTGGAAAAGGTACCCTCTATTCTTCTCTCGCCCTTCATATAGACATCATCGAAAGGTTGAAGAAGAAATTTTTAACAAAATTCTAGTTCTGTCAATCTGTCGCATTCGTTCTCTTAGCAAAAGAAACGTGTCGCTGTCCTTATCCATATCAGACAGCATAATCTTTAAAAAGTATACCTCATTGATCATTTTCACATAGTAACTCTCAGTGAACATTGAACGAAGAGAAATGAGGAAGACAGGGTAAGCATCAGCAGCAGCAGAAAATAGATATCAATGACTGTCAGTTCATTACAAATTTCAAAAGACAGGGAAGTCGTTCTGTCCTCTTGTTTTTCATTTTCTTTTCCTCGTTTTTACCTTTCAATTTCCTTTCTCTGTTACTCTTTGGAAACATCCATCTTTCTTATTTTACTATTTGATCTTTAAATCTTTACTTCTCTGCCAAACTGTTGTTTTCAATTTCATACATACTATCTCCATGCATTGTCACTATCTCTGTTCTCTCTTCATCATTTTCAATCTCTATCACAAGGGAATCCCCCCTCCCTTTCCTACTACCACCCATTCGCCGTCATTCTTCATCAACCAACAGACCTGATGGGGGCATACCTTCAAACATGTTTCTCGTCTGGATAATATTCCCCTCGTTTAAAAATATTTTTCTCCCATCATCAAATCATTTGTCTTAATTTTGCGTTCTGTTGAATCAGAATTAGTAAGCTCTTTGACAGATCAACTGCCACAAGCAAATTTAAATTTACACCATTGCTTTCCTATCGAAGAACAAAAAAAGGTATAAAAGAGACAAAGATGAAGAGAGAAAGAGAGAGGTGAGAGAGGGTACAGAGAGATAGAGAAAAATATGAAAAAGGTAAAAAGGATGAGAGCAATCTGTTATTCCCTTCATCCAGATAGCCTTATCTTCTCCTTTTCAAATTTTCTCTTCTACTCTGTCTCTACATCCTACACTACTTTTCCATCGTCAGAAGGTATTCATTGTTGAAAACTATTTCGTGAGAGCATTATTTTGAGTTTCAACAGCTGAATCATGCTGGAAATAGAAAACCGAAGAAACTGTTTTTCACACACAAAATCTGTTTATCATTCTTTGCAGAATAAAAAAAAAGAAAAAAAAATGGAAAGATCAATTTCTTCTTTCCTTTATTTCAAATCAAGAGAATACCTGTTCTTTTCACCTTTTGATTTTCTATACATTCAAATAACTCATCTGAAATATATAATCCTGAAAATGAAAGAGAAAAAGACATTTGTTAATTCAAAAATCAAAATTTCTCTCTCATCTCTACCGTATGCTAGGAAAGCCCCCACATGAAACTCTTATTCCTATTATCTATCCCATCCCACCTCTATCAAGAGCTTAGCATGATGCAGATGAGCAAATGCAGAAGTGAACCATTGAGCAAGAGAGGGAGAGAGAGAGAGATGAAGATGTCTTTCGACCTTTTTCTAAATTTGATCTCTCATTCATTTACTCCATAATAAGCACCACGTCAAAGAATACGTGAGTTTTCTCATTCTTCCGAATGCTAATCTGGTGCGTCA